CTTTGTAATAAATCGACACCAGGACGATTCCAGCGAATCCTTCATTTGATTATAAAGTTTTTCCTGGTGCAACTCATGATCCGCTCGTTTGTGTTCAGTTAACGGTTGTAAACATGTTGCGCCGTCGAAACGGACCGTCACATCGAGAAATTCATACAGCGTCAAAAGGGAGAGTTTATCGTCTTCGGCCAAATCGTTAAAAGCCTTCTCCTCTGTTGTTGAAAAAGGTAGGACCATCACGTAGCTATTATTTTCATCCGTCACGCCTGGTGGGCTTGATCCACCGTTCGAGTAGATGAAAGAAAATGTATTTTGCCATTCTCCAGTGTATAGCGAGGCATTTAAAGAAGCCACCCAGCTACGAAGATCATTCACATAATCAGAAGCCACACTATCTGAAGTTCCATTGCGTTTGTCCAGTGTGGTGAGACTGAACGTTTGTAAAAGCACAGAATTTGAGCTGTTGGTACTACTGAATACCAAAATTAGAAGATGGCAAATACCCGAGCATAATAGCAATAACATCAACAGTTTTAGTTTATGTCGCGTCAAATATACCGACAATTTTGCCATATCCTCACAAATTTTTTTGAACAAAACTATCCACTGTTTAACCGAAGATCGAAAGCGTTGGTGACAAGAACTATACTTATGAGTTCTGTGACTTAAGCATAGGATTCTCCAAAATCAAAAATTATTTACACAATCTGGACGAAGACCGATGAGGTTACCGGTATTCATGAAAGTATTTACAGCTTTAAATCAACATCAGCTGCATTTATCCTTATTCAAAAGCTGTCCCAATAATTCGTAAGAGTTTCCGGAGTCACATCAAGGATACTGAAGAATTCCAAATAACAACTGGTGGAAATGATGAAAATTCAAAACAACCAGTTTGCGCTCTAACCTGGTGTAGAAGACACAGTATTCGTCACACTATTGTTTTCATTGTTTTCGTATTTCCGGTTGTGATGAATCTTATTGTGACGTAACCGTGTCTTCTACACCAATTAAGAGCCACCCGCTTTACCTAATCTGCGACGCTTATCTATGACCACACAGACGTCCTCAGACTTGTCACATCATGCAATCATTCATTCAAATCAAAGTTTGCAAGGGTCAAAGTAACATCAACCTTAAGGAGGTCACGGCTTTGGATGTTGCGTTTCGAAACCTTTCGTATTTTCGGGCGGCACGAATTTAACGGAAGTTGAAACGTTAAAAATCAACCGTGAACCGCTGAATAAACTGTCTCGATGTGATGACGAAAACTGCCACGTTGTCGAAAATAGCGGTAAATTTCGATTTTACGATTTCTGTGAATTATGGCTACCTCTATGATTTTGAGAACGTTAAAATAATTAAAGGGATTTAAAGGGACCAAAGGATTTCAGGTGGAAAGGTAAGCTGCAGTCCTGACTTTGTAGTGAAAATAAAGCAGTTCAGAGTCGGTTAAAGAAAATTAAATTGTACTGAATTAAATACTTTTCATGGAAGGTCAAACAAACAAAGAAAGGAAGGTTTGTTCTTCCAAAAAATGAATGACCAAATCAACATTGGAAAAATAACATCTACCTAAGGGTCGGCGCTGTTTCATTTAACATCCAACTAAAGGTATTTAGGTTAAAGGTCTGACAAACAGGAGAAGAAGACTTGACCACAAATATTAAACGCGAACTTTTTTATGTCAGAGTCCAAAGGTTAAAAAAAAAGAAAAGAAAATATATATTTGAGACGTAATCCATGCATTATATCTGGATGCATTCATTTATAATACGGCGATACTGTAGAGTAAAGTATGAAGTCGTATCTTATCTCATCGAATTATCAACCGTGCTAAGGGTTTCTTTCAGTGCGCGTCGACTTCTCCCGTTGCTTCAGTGGCAGAGACTTCTGGCACTGCAAGTGGTTTATCTGATTTGTACTTTTTAATAGAGGTCCGCACTGAATCGCACATAATTTTCTGGGAAGATTCACAGCCTGTTAAGGGACAGAAATTAAATTTCGACGGCATTCCTTTTATGATTATCGGAACAGCCGTATATGACTGCCATCAGGGAAAAGACAGAAATCTGGCGTTGAAGAAGCGCATCAAAGGAGAAGAAACGAAGTTGAGAAGCTAAATCTCCAAAATTAGACATCAAAAACTTTAATGCAACAGCTTTTGATTTGGTTGAAAAGGTTTAATAAAAAGTTTCTACTGCTATCTTTACTTTTCGTCTTAAAGATGAAATCTGGAGATCATTGTGGAGGGCCCATTTCAAACAGAGTCACACAAAATACAAAGAAACTGGACTGTTCAGCACGGATCATTGTGAGGGAAGTGGTCATGTTCCCTTCATGCCATCGGAAACAGGAAAAGCTGTAAGCAAATGGAAAACTTTTCCCAAGGATACAACTGATCATCTCTTTAGTGTGAGAGGCCGTGAAAACAAATTAGTTTCAGTGCCTTTTCTTAACATGTGGAAGTATTTTTCAAGTGCTGAGCTTACCTCCCGTCTTCAGTTTTTGGTTAGTTGGGATTTTTTCTGCATCTCTCTGATATGGGTGTGTTGTGAGAGTTGTTTGACGCCAAATCCATTTGCTTAAATCAGGTAGTAATGCAAAGTAGAACAGAAAAGGTGCACATTTAACACAGAGTCACATGTAAGCTTTGTCAATACCGTCAAAACTGACAACTTTTGGATCAACATTGGGCCGAATAATTAGCGACTCTTTTTTTCAACAGTTCAAGAAAAGGTGGCTAAAAAAACGTGTCGATCATCGAGTATCACACATTTTTCCTACACCGTCTCGGACAGAATTGGCCTGACTAATCATCACGATTATCTGTAGAAAATTTACATTAATTGGCAGTTTTACGGTTGGTACTTCTCTTACTACATAAAAAAGGTTTATACCGCCGTAAAAAAACAACATCAAAGCTTAGCCATTGGTCCCATACATGCATTTCAACACTAGACACGAAGTGATTGAGAAACAGATGATCAACATGGACGCCATCATGGCGAAGTTCATCACAGATATGACTTCGTTTCCGAACACCCTGAGATGAGACGGCTCGGGGTGGGATGGGGTGAATTGTGATGAGTGGGATGGGTGAAGTAAAGTGGGACTGCATGAGGTGCTTTGAGCCAAGGCCAGTGGGATGTGTAGAGGTGCGGTTGGTGGAGTGGGGTGGGGTGAGATAAAACATTTGAACTGACGAGGGCGAATTGGTGCGATGGGAGGAGAGGGGTGGGAGAGTTCAGGCAACACGAGGGAAGTTTGAGGGGAGGAGTGCAGTGGGTGGAAAATTTGTAAGGTAAAAACTTATGAAAACGTGCCTTAATTTAAACTGATTTTTATATTGATTTTCCCCTTTCAGGAAACTGTAACTCACACACAAAACATGGCTATGGGAACTGCATACGCTTGGTTGGAAAATCATTTGAAAAGATTGTCAAGCGATTTTGAGGGGAATACATTTTGACCGTTGTCACGGTATTGTTTGATCGTTGTCACGGTATTGTTTGATCGTTGTCACGGTATTGTGAATACCGCGGTTCTCTTACTGGGAAGTTAATAGGCCCTACAAACTATATCGAGGTAAATTTTTTGCAGTATCTTTGGAATATATGGAGTAAATACCAAAATTGGAAGCCTTGCAATTTTATTTAAATTTACATTGCGTTTCGTTTAGCAGTCCCTGATTCTACACCTGACGACACTTGAACAAATATTAAAATGTTCCTATAAACGTAATGAATAAAATATTTAATCGGCGAAGCTGGCGGTTGAAACAAAACGGTTTGGTTTTATCAACTGCGTTAATAAGAAAAATTGGCCACCGTAAAAAGGTATCTAAAGCTGAAGTTTCGAACGTTATCTCTTAATCATTTGCGAAGCGCTAACGGACTTAATATTTGAAACGTCAACTTTTGAAACTCTTTTCGTTGGCCAATTCACATATATCGACTCCGTTGATAAAACCAAATTTTATTAACGGTTCAAATCCCGTACAGGCCTGGATTTTTTTTGGAGCCTTATTTCACTACAAGTAGTGTTAATAACTGCGAAGATCGCTTCCATATTCATGTACAAATTATATTGTTCCTATAAACAGTCATGCAAAACGAAACTCCTAACGAAATCGTGAGCAAGAAATACCCAACTAAGAGGAGACGAAACAGAAAATTGCCACAATCCAAGAAAAATTCCTATTGCTAGAAAGGGCACCTGCCTGCCAGAGATTGTTACCAAAGACAAAACCTGCAGCGAACCTGAAACGTGACAGATTGCAAGGCAGATAAATTAATCTACATAAGAGACGACATGCGTTAACACGCGCGTCGGAGAAAGCGAACTTCCCACGAGCGAGTGTGGGTCTGTTTTACTGCCCACCCGTTTTATTCGGCTGCTTAATGTACAGGCTATCATATCTAGGGGGAAAATTGACACTCTTGTGAGCTGTGACAAATGAAAAAGTGAAAAATGGCATTTGTCTAAATTAGGAGGGAGCAAAACTTTGCAACACTTGCGGTCAGAAAGTTTGTTAGTCTGAGCAACCAAACCATTCTCCTCCATGAGCTGGTTGAAGATAACCTTTGCCATACCAATTAGTTAACTCATAGTCAATGTCCTTCAGAGTAACAAATTGTTCATTGTTAATGGTAGCAAAAGCGGATCCGTTCAACCAAACGGAAGGGGAAATATAAAAGTCGACGTAACGACGTTCTCTCCAGCGTGATGAAACAGGCAGCATACCCTGTACGGCTTGCTCAATATCGCTGCTAAATAATAAATTATTACCTTCTAAATCATCAGGGCCATCAAAAAGGGAAGCTGTGTCAACCTCTATATAAGGTGCCATCAGCATATGGGCTCTTGGTATACCCATATAAGATATCCCTAAATAATAATGGCTGCCCTTTGTCCTTAAAAGTTCTGCAATAGATGAATAGGTCGAAGAATTACCGTAGTCAGCCTTCGTAAGCGCGATATCAACATCACACGTCCAAGGTATAACAGTCTGACTTCTAACTGCACCTAACAGAGTACCATAAATAACCCGATAATCTACACCAAGTTGGGTCAGTGCCCATGTTATATCTTTCAGCATTTGAAATAAGACGATCCCGCAACAAATCGGTGCTGCCACGCTGGACAGCTCTGTTGGCTTAACATAGGGTTTCTCCGGGCATAATTTCCAGTTTGACACACACGTTGTCCATTCAATTCGATTGTTTGTGACGATGCGAAGAATATTGAATTTATTTCCAAAAGCGGCGTACTCCGGGACATCGTTTGAACCCTCTAATGTTCCACGATCCACGCGCGCTATTTCGTGTGTCCAACTGCAATTTGAAAGTTTCGCTATCTTTAGCTCGCCTTTAGATCGAACAAAAAATTCTAACAAAGCCATTCTACCAAATCCGTTGAGCAATCCTCCATAGCGATGAAACACGTCACCTCTCATCACGAAAGGACCTTGTGCAACGTTACAAACTTGGTACACAATCAGTATGCCGTTCGCTAAGTCCGGAAACGAAAATTTGTTTGAAGA